ACAAACATCTAAAGAATAGAAATAATAAAGATTATAATCTTACAATTAATTTAAATATTATAATTTATTAATTAATTTAATAATACCCTCGCGTAACTTCCAATTATTACGATACACCGATTTGAATCTTGCGTAACTACCAATTACTACAAACATCTAAAGAATAGAAATAATAAAGATTATAATCTTACAATTAATTTAAATATTATAATTTATTAATTAATTAACAATACCCTCGCGTTCCAATTATTACGATTTAGTAAAAAATGCCAATTTGTATCTTGCGTAACCATCAATCACTACAAACATCTAAAGAATAGAAATAATAAAGATTATAATCTTACAATTAATTTAATATATTAACAAGTCCCTCAACAGTGGCATTTTCTTTCTTTTCATCTACATTAATATATATTGGTCCTTTTCTTAAAGATATTCAAGCTAAATCTTCAACTTTGGTAGTTAATGTAGTGAAAAAAAGCACTGTTCATCGATTTTCTATTTAAAAAAAAAACAAGATCCATTTATAAGTGGAATATATAAATATATATGTATGTACATAAAATAAATAAAATAAATAATCCAAACTATCTAAGAATCAATATTTGTAATAAAATATTAAATAAAAAATTTTAAAAAATATATTTTTAATAAAGAAGTATCTTTATTAAAAAAAAATTTTTTTCTTTTCTTTTTTCCTCTCTATCTCTACAATAATAAATAAATACAATAGATTAATATCAGTAAATATTAATAATATATAATAAATAACCAGGTTTCACGAAGACCTCAAAATCTAATATTAATTATCTTCTAATTTTCCGATCCTTCATCTTTTATCCATTTTTAAAATTAATATATTATTATCCCGATCCTCCATTATAACCGATCCACCTCTACCCGATTCTCCTATATTTATAAATCTAATATTAATTATCGATACTTTATCTGCTTCTAATATCTCTATATGATTAACTGATCCTTCATCATCACCCGAACCATTTCTATATTATCTATATTATTATTATTATTATCGATCCTCCTATATTCATTTATAAATAATTTATCCGTTTTTATATTAATATAATTATTACCCCGATCCTCCATTATAACCGATCCACCTCTATATTATTATTATTACCCGATTCTCCTACATGTATATTTATAAATCTAATATTAATTATCGATACTTTATCCGCTTCTAATATCTATATATTATTAACTGATCTTTCATCATCACCCGACCCATTTCATTCGTCGACAGCAAAATAATTTTTGTTTTTATTTGAATCATTGATATAAAGATTTTTGATTACAATGTATCATATATCATGTGTTATTTTTTGTGTAATGTGTAACTAGTAATTTTTCCGAAATAATTTTCTTGGCAAAAGTGATCGGCGTTACAATTTGTAACGACATGTACATGATTTTTATTCAGAAATTATTTATACAACACTAATATCAAATTCTTTCGTAGTGAAAATCTCAATAAACAACAAGCACTGGATCTACAAAAGAAGGAATTGCGAAAAAAACCGGATCATTTTAAGGTACATCTGACATTATAAAGACTCGTATCTCAGAGCAACTTCGAGTAAAACTTTATATACTTGTGATTTGTTCTTTTGTTGTTTACATAGGCAATAATATATGTGCACATTTGACTAGTCAACAATCCATGAAGCTAAATCACAAGATTAAAAATTGTAATTATAAATATTAGATTTGAGCATTGAAGTTACGTATGGCAATGAGCTATTATGCAACATACCGTTTTAGTATAATTTGTCTAAGATATAAAAAGGATCTTCCTTTAGTTTTTGTTTTTTCGAAGGAGTCTCTGTTGTTTTGTGCAATGGTGATGAGGGTGGAGACGGTGTAGAAAATCTTTTTTGAGTAAATTTTCGAATCTTGGCAACCAGATCTATATGCGTATGCTATATAAGAAGCACAAAGATACGTGAACACTGATAATTTAACAGGAAAAATTATATTACATATAAGCTATGCATACCCGTAATGCCAGAAGATTCTTCAAAAAACCATGTAAAAGGTCTCCCATGTCGGATAACGTTGTTGGTAATGTCAACGTTGCCATTTCGACAAAAAAGTAGAAGTTTTTTGAACTGTCATAAGTAAGAGAATAGACACTCCATTTTGTGCCTACATAACATGAGAAAATTTTTAGACAAGAAAATTGAACCACATTAAATAAATAAGATGAATTGCTACATACCTGTTATTTGAATTCCCATTACGAAGACTTCTTCAAGTTCTTTTTTTTTAAAATGTAGATTACTCCAAAATGCATCTATACAATCTTTCATTACCACTTTAATTTTGGAATGGTCTTCCCGAAATTTAGTGTCATCCATAGGACCTTCTGTATTCCCTGCTTCAAGCACCAATAGTTCAACTTTGTAACTTCGTAATGATATTATCAAATCCATCAATTTAGATGGTGGGTTTAACTTTACATATTCTGAATTAATGTATTTTCGTTTTCTGGAAGTAACACTACGTGAATCTTTCTCGATCCTAGAAAAAATTAGTTATGCCAATTTAAGAATTGACTTTATAGAAGAATCATTGCAACGTAAAAAATTCGTCACTTACCAGTTAAGTTCGAAAGTGCCTATATCGAATTCTTCAAATATGAATCCCATTATTGGACTAAGGATCTTAACGATATAATCACGTTCTCGATGTTGCATGACAAGAACGTTAACTTCTCTTCATAAACAGAGATGACTAAATAGAATTTCAGTTAGTATTGCAAAATCTAATGACCATTCAAATATTCAACAATATACTTACAAAAATTCGATAATTCCAACAGTTAGTTATGCATCCTCGGATTTTAATGTTGTGAATTTGTCTTTCCATGATGTTAGATCGTTTAACGACTTCTATAAAATACCATAATAATCTATAAATATGTTGTAAGAAGCAGGTAACTATAAACAAAAAAAAAATAACTTACTATCCGACCACATCCATCATGTAGTAAACCTTGTACTTCCTTATCGATTTTTTCCTTACAAAGCTCCTTCCTTGATCTGTTAAACAATTGAGCGTAATCAGAAGTTTTGAGAATCCGATTCCAGTCAACTTTCGTCCAATTAGAAAGATCCACTATACGAGATTCAATAGACCTGAAATTTTTGTGATAAAGCAGAGAACATGCGTCATTTGTGAAAATGGATATGATCGCAAATAAAATTAACATACTGTACTCGTAAGTTTCCTTTTTTCAATCGATCCGTTACTTTCATCCATATTTCCTCGAGATTTAAGTTCAAAAAAAGTAAGTCAGAAATCTGAAATTGTAATAAAAGTTAAATATTGTTCAAGATGCAGTAGCAAAAAGTGAATTATTACCTTTTCTACAATAATTTCATCGATATTCGCATCATTGGTTTTCAGATCTTCTTTATCATAAGTTTGTGTGGTGAAATCATTTGTGCGCTGATTTGATGCTTGTTTAATCTCAGAAACAACTTGGTCGAAATCAAGATTCGAATTATTTGCTCGTTCAGTTTTATTGTCGCTATCGGGATTCGAATGATTTGATGCTTGTACAATTCCAGAAATAGCTTGGTTGCTATTAGGATTCAGTATGCATGAATTGACTTATATAAAACCTAACACCTTTGATTATTTAAATACACATTACGTACGTCTCAAAATGCCGAATACCAGCCGATATGCCAGTGGTTATTGCTATATTTTCTAGATTACGCTAGATTGTGACATCTTAATAAGACAATATGTTTATCACATCTAAAAAAATAATTCAGCCATACTTACCATATTCACTCTCTTATTGACTTCTGATTTTGTTAAATTTTCCATTTTTTGCTTGACATTTATTGGAATCCTAGTTTTAAAAATAAGAAACATTAATTAATATATTATAACTTTCACAATGAATATCGCAAGCAAAGTGTTGTAAACCACAAGTGCCATCGGCACATTCCCACTTCAGGCAAACGAACCGCTTGCCTTCTGTGACAAAATCACTCGACCAGAGACCGCAGGGTATGGTTTCATTCAAAAAAAGCTCAAACCACGCGTACCATCAGCACATTCCCCACTTCAGGCAAACGAACCGCTTGCCTTCTGTGATAAAACACTCGACCGGAGACCGCAGGGGTATGGTTTGTGCAATATGCTAGAAAAAAATAAAACTTAACTTTAAGCCGTTGTTTCATTCTACTTGCGTGCTGATATTGAGGTTCTTTTTCTGGAAGTAGTTCAAGAAGAGTCGCTAGCTCAGTTCCAAGCGAGCTATGGGAATCATGTTTGTTCGCTTCGGGTACTTTTTTAATGTAAAACATATCCCAATCGGTAACACCCCATTCCTCAATAGGCTTACTCCAATATTCTTGGAAAAAAGCTAGTATTAGCAAAGAAGTTAAATAAATTTATCGAAACAATAAGAGAGAAGGTTTACCTGAATAACAAAGAGATGAAATTATATCCTTCGATAATCTTGCGCTCATTATATCGGTTTCAGTCGAGTAAAAATATAAAAACGCGTATGTAATATGTCATGACTACAAACAAGATCTGTTAATAGCTAGGGGGACTACTCATAGTTACACAATATAATTTTAGAATAATAATCACTACTAAAACTGAAGCCATATGTAATTTACTAAGTATTACTATTAAAGCTCAAAACTTTGTGTAATTCGCGTGTAATTTTAAAGATTTATTTATTTGAATCACACGATAAAAACAAAATTTCGCTAATCATAAGATTCCAAGCTATACATAAATATAATTTTTATTCTTATTTTGTTTCCTTATCTTGTGAAAAACTGGATCGGCTATTTTTACTACCTTTAATTATAGAAAACTTTCATTTGTCACTTAACAATGGTAAAGTTTAAAAAAAGATATACAAGTAAGAATGATATTGGTTTGTCTTTAACAAAACAACAAAAAAAGTTAGAAGCACTACAAGAACTTGTGCAAATTAAACCAGATATTAAAGGAAAAGAAATATATTTCTTTC